CCTCTGTATCTCTCCTCTCCTTTCTCTCTCCACCCATCACCCAACTTCCCCTCTCTCACCAGCTTCTCCTCCCTCTCACCCTCCCTTCTCTCCCGCTCTCTCTTCCTTCCTTCCTCCCGCCTCCTCTCTTCCTCTGCCCTCCTGCCCTCTCGCTTTCTCCGCTCTCATCGCCTGTCCTTCGTTCATGCACTACCCTCCATTTCTCTCCCTCGACTCCTTCCACTCCTCCCTTTCCTCTCTCCCTCCTTCCCTGTCTCCCTCCCTTCCTCCCTCGCTTCCTCCCTCGCTCCCCTCTCCTTTCTCCCTCCGCCCTCTCCCTTTCTCCCCCTCTCCTTTCTCCCTGCCCCCTCTCCCTTTTCTCCTCCATGAACCTCTCCCTTTCTCCCTCCCCCTCTCCTCTCCCTTTCTCCTCCCTCTCCGCTTTCTCCCTCCCCCTCTTACCTTCCTACCTTGTCACTCTCACGCCTTCCTACCTCTCTCTTCCTCCCTTCCTTTCCTTCTTCTCCTCTCCCTCCTTTCTCTCTTCCTCTTCTCCCTTCCTCCTCTCCCTCTCCTCCCTCTCCCCCTCTCTCCCTTCCTCCTCTCGCCCCTTCTCCCTCTCCCCTTCTCTTCTCCTTCCTACCTCCTCTTCCTCCTATCCCTTCCTACCTCCTCTTTTGCCTTCTCTCTTCCTTTCTCTCTCCTCCTCTTCCCTTCTCCCTGCTCTTCCCTATCTCCCCTCTCCTTCCTCCCTCTCTCTCCTTTACTCTCATCTGCGTCAAACTCTTACGTTCTTAAACTAAGTTATGATATGTCAGAAAAAATTGTAAAAATACGACTAAAGAACATTGAGAATCTGACATGACAACGCGTCTATGGAGCACTTTTCAGGTGTTTTAAATTATGTGTCCTTAAATATGTATTCTGGGTAATAAAAAGAGACGCAAATTAATAACACAGGAACGCAAACCTAAATCAACACATGTTATCGATTCGAATGTGATTTACGTAAAAAACTATCATTTTTTTAATCCAAATCGGTTATGTATGTGACGCACTTTCACTAAGATCATATCCGATTTCTTCCATTCAGCATATACGCATTTCGGATGCGCTTTTTGTGTTTTTTATAACTTTAACATAATATGAGATTCTACAATGGCAACACATTATTTAACTGAAAATTAAATTTTATTCATTTTTTGTAAGTCCTTGGTTGGCTTGTCAGTTAGCGTGCGCGATTTCCAACGCGCACAATCCGGTTTTTGAATTCCCGGTTCGGAGCTTTCCTTGCAATGTCCTCAGTATCTGTTGCTGTCATGACAGTGAAAAGCTCACTTCTCAGGTTGAGAAGAAAACCAAGAAAACAGCGTAAGGGATGTCCTATGTGCTACGACACAACTTACCCGCTTAACCCTAACGACTGCAGGCCGGGACGCGCTGCTTGGTAGGCTTTATTTCGTAAAGAGCTGTTGTGCCAAGTAACAATATATTTTGAAGCATAGTAAGAGAATATCTCCTTCAATGGAGCTTTCCCCAGACATTTTCAAATCCAAAATTTCTTTCTTTCTGCACACTCCACCCGCTCTTAGAATCACACTTCCGAAATTGAACAGAACCACATGCCTCTTCTTTTCTTTTGTCTTCTTTTTTAAAAAAACGTGGCCCAAAATTTGCGCGTATCATACCTTTTTTGAATTTAGATCTTGTTGATCACGCCATGTCCTCACTTAGAACCACTCTCCATTGCCTTCCTTCACAACCATGTGGGCGCAAATAATAATAAACCCTTAAATCATCTATTGGTTCTCATTGAGATACCTCTACCTACATACATTACTTTACGATACAATAATGTCTCAAATTTTTGAAAAATGTTGTGTTTTGTATCGCACTAATTTCTGAAATAAGACTGAAACGACAAATATACATCACCCTTCAATAAAAGTGAAATTTTATCATAAAAAGATGCTGGCTAGCCAGGTGTTCCAAGTGCCATGCATGTGCTCTGTCGCAAGTACCGGGCAAAAATGGTACGAGCAGGAGCGGTAGCTTCGCCGTTCTTCCAGCTGGGGCCGGCAACTGCGCCGTCACGGCCACCTACACCGACGAGGCGAGCCGGTCGCGTCGGCGTGCTCAACGCGCAGACCAACCTCGTGTGAGTGCGGCGCGTGCGCTGGCGACCAACCGGCCCTAATGGCAGTGGTCAGGCGGTCAACCGTCCGGCGACTGATGCCCTGGCGGAAGGCGCGACGTGCCGTGACGCCACCGACTCCTCATTCGACCGTGTATTAATGTTTCACGTTCTTATATTCACTTACTGCAAAATCTACCTGTACAGCGGATATCTCTAAAAATTACTTAGTGAATGTTGACAGTGGAGAACGAAAAAAACTCGCGTGATCCATTACAACTTTGGTAAGATTGGTGAGTGGGTGAGTGAGTGGGGGGGCGCGAGAGAGTAAATGGGTGGTGGGTGGCCCAGAGGGTGAACTGAGGCGAGAGTGAATGAGTGTATGAGTAGATGGGATGAGTGTACGGGTTAGGCTGGATGAGCCGAGTGGATAGATGAGTGGGTGGGTACGCAGATGGGTGAGTAGGTGAGAGGGTGAATACGTGGATGAGTGTACTGAATGGGAGTGTCGGTGGAAGTGTGGGTTGATTGGAATGGGTAGGTGGAATGAGTGGGTTGGTGACTGAGTGGGAGGGAGGGAGGACGAGTGAGTGGGGTGGACGAGTGGGGTCCGTGAGTGACGGGCGAACAGGTGCATATCATATGGTGGATTATGGATCGCGTGGGTTTGGAGCGTGTGAGTGGATATATGGGTGCGTGGGATGCTGGTGGTGGCTGAGATGGTTCTGGTGTGTGTGGATAAAGGGATGAGTGGGTGTACGAGTGGGATCCGTGTGTGGACGGGGCGAACAGGTGCATGAGAGGGTGAGTGGATACATAGGTGGGTGGATGCGTGGGTTGATGGATGAATTGCTTGTGGGTGGGTAAGTGTGTATGTGGATAAGGGAATGAGAGGGGGGTGCGCGCGCGCGTGCGTGTGTGTGTGTGGTGGTAGATAAGTGGAGTACCTGCATGTGCGAGAGCGAGAGAAACAAACGCCCTAGTGCACCTGCCGTGTGTTGCGCGGTCGGGGCGCAGACGAGCATCCAGCGGCTTCGCGTGCGGCTTGGCGGGCGCCGGCAAGACGAGGGCACGCCTGAAGGTGACTTCCCGTCATGGGTGAGTGACCCAGGAAGCTGCCTCTACGCAGCGCCTCTCCAGAAACCCTCGTGCAGCAAGCAAGGGACTTCCGGAGGTCAAGAAAACACACATAATTGTACTACTCCCCATATGTCACTCACCTTTTTGGCTTATTATTTGCCCGTAAAAAAATATTAAAATATAATAAGCTGTAGTGACAGAGGGTCAGACGCTGTACGCAGCGCATTAAGAAATCTTATCACAGATTCCAATTTGCCCTCATCCACGTCACACACACTTTTATTCATTTTTGACGATAAATAAATAAAAAGTAATATAGGTTTGTGGTATTGAGGGCCCTGTCAGTTCGCAGTGGCAGAAAAGTATGTACACGTACAAACCGGCGAACAATCTTAATATTCCATGACGTTAAGTTATGGAAATTAAATTTTTAAGTTAATTTGCATAAATTAATATTAATATATCTCTTTTTATTTGAACAAACGTTTCTCACAATGCTGCATCGCCTCGTTCGCAAGGGAACTTTCGAAGCTGACTACTGGGTGCTGGAACAGACTACGAAAACAACGCCGTGGTGTGGTCTTGCAGCGCCTATTTTATGGCGTCAGCAACTCCGTGAAGTAGATTATTTGAGATGGATGGACATCTGTTAGAGATCTCCTTAACAACAATTACACCCATCAGCGGCCGGTTTGCTTACTTCCAAAACAATGATTGTCTACTTGTCCTCACTCGATTTTGTCTTCCCAAAAACTTATATGAAAAACTAAATCGCAATCTAGTTGGGTCTGTCAGACAATAATATTATGTCTTCGGGATTTATTTTAGGATCTCCATTTTTTTTTCAAAGTAAATTGTAAAGGAACTCATGGTGTACTACGTCGTATTTTTGTCAAATATTCATTTAAAATGTAACTATTTTTGAAATAAAATATAAAAATAAATAAGCCCTCCGTAAAGAGAATAGCTCTGTGAAATAGTTGTATACTATGTTTGTTTATACCTAGGCTGGAGAATACATTGTCACGAGAAAAATGGTCGGGGGCGAAGGCCGTGCGCAAGAATTTCAACAATTACTGCCGTGTTGTGCCGTAACAATTATTTGAGAGCCAGGTTTCATTTTATTCTTTTTTTTTTTTTTTTTTTTTTCGAAACACGGAAGACAAGAAGAACATTCTGAATACTGTAGACATAAAAAAACTAAAGAGAAGTATTGCAACACATTGGATTGTTAGATTGATTGATAGATTGTCGACGATTACTCAGAGTCCAGGAAGTGAAGAGGTTCGAAAACGAGGTACCGGAAAAATAAGAAAAAATATTATATACTTCGAAGTAAAGTGGTCTGTTATAGCATAAAATCGGCCATTAAATTGAGACATACAACAAAACAGAGACATACTACATTACTAGTAATTACTTTTTAATATTTTAATTTAAAAAACGCCATATTATTTTTTTAAGAGAAGACCCAGATTGTTGGTTTGGCCCAAGGTCTGAAGCTACTGGGAAGTTACTCTAAGATGGAACCAGTGAGGAAAGCAATAAATATCATATCGATTGATGACATTGGAAGTCGTGGTGTCGAAGGTATTTACACATGAACCAACTGTAAACGATCACATCGACGAATTGCGCGCATAGACTTGACTTCCAGTCATGTTGCCAGTAGGAGGCAAGCACAAGCTATCAACGCGGCCCCTTCTTA